TTGAATACAACAAAGGTGGCTAGCTTTTCCAGGTAAAGAGAAAATTCTCTGGTGAGGAGTTTCCTTGGGGCTTTTGCCTTTGTAAATCATCACAGTTGAAGGCAGTTTTATTACTTTGCATATAAGTCACCTTACTAGCTTTATGGGAAAGTAGCAATCCTTTCACTGACAAGCTTCTAGGGTCTGGTATTTTTAAGTTTTTAATTTCTCAAACAACTCCTGGAGTCAGTGTCCATATTTTCCTTGTGTTACCATCTAGGTATAAATCTCCCTCTAATACCATCATCACTTATGGTAATAATGGTGAGTTTGTCATAAACTGAATAAAAGGCAAAGGAATGTTGGGCAAGTTTTAGACATCTGTTCCAGATGCCTAAATGTTTTTCAATTTGTTGGTTTTTTTTTGTTTTTTGTTCTTTAGTTGCTAATGGAGGCATTTCAGGTACCTGTTTAGTTCTTTCTTGTAGTAAAGCTTAACTGTATTTCATAATATATTACCATTAGAATATATTTAATTGTAAAATCCTGTACTGTTTTTAAGAAGACATTTATTATTAATGATATTTTATTGAGTTGTTAGGTTGCTAACTAATACGTCAGTGGTTCATACCCCTCATCTACTCTGAGGGAGAGGGGTATAACAGTCTACATCTACAAAGATTTACCTCAGAAACCCAGTTGGGCATTTCAGCTCTGTCCCACAAATTTACTGTGAGTTGGAAGGTTTTAACAATTTATATTACTAAAATAAAAATGTATGTGAAATATGCACAAATGCCTAAAGAATTTTTTTTACTTTGAATGAAGAGTTAGCAATAAGAAAATGACATTGGAACAGACACACTTTCTTTTTCAGCTTTCAAGAGTGTTACTTACACCAAATCCATTAAATATTTCTTATAACCTTTATACATACTTTTCTCAGATGATTTTTTTTTAAACAGTAGCCTATGAAAACCTCAATTATTCTTTTAAGTTGTGAGAGGCCTAAAAGTGAGTGCTTATTATTCAGAAAGTATTCTGTTAAAGAAGAAAGTAATTTAAAGAAAGCAGAAGTAGGAGAAGTTAATTTATTTCCTGGAAACTTCCTATCGGTTCACACTTACCCAGTTGCTGTGAACCCTCCCTAATTATCATAATTTTATTTATGTGCATGACATTGAATTTACATAAGATGAAAATATGACAAACTTTAGGGCTAGGGAGGAGAAAATACATGGAGTGCAAAGAACCAGTAGTTCGCTCCTCAGCTACACATCGGGGGAAGCCTAGAAGTGGAATGTTGTATCAGCAAACACCTTTGATAATAGGAACAGGAGACATGAAAGAATAACATTGACTGTGTACCAGCTTTCAAAGAAATTGTGCCCTAATTCTCCATATCGTTAGTCTTTTCCACATTTGCTTTTCTACTTTATACGGTCTCCTTAACATTTTTTGCAGTTTAAAAAAAAAAAACCTAACCTCATTGCCATCAAGTCAATTCCAAATCATAAAAACCCTGTGGCAATAGAGTAGAATTACCTGGAGGGTTTCTAAGGTTATAATCTTCACAGACACAGATGACCACATAGTTCTCCAGAGGAGCAGCTGGTGAGTTTGAACTGCAGACCTTTTGGTTAACAATCAAACACTTAAGCAGCCACTGGGAGTCTTTGTGTTGTGATTACCATATTGTTTGAGAAGGGCTTTTATGTAATTTTTGTGGTTATGTAGGAGCTGAATGTTGAGAGTGTATGTGGTTTGGGAAGGTTATTTGCATGGGATTGTTTTTAAAAAATTCAAATTTGTATCTTGACAGATGTTGATAAGAGCATTTGGAACTGACTTACAGCAGAAGTTTTTAACTATCTGTTCACTTGCACCAGAAGTATAACATTTGCACCCCTAGGAACCGTGAACACATTTTTTTTTTAACTTGATTTTATTATTTTTTTGTGCATGTACCGTCAAAATCAGATCTGACTGATACAGAAGGAAATTATCCCTCCTTCTCCGGCAGAGCATCTGGTGGATTTGAACCGTGTACCTTTGGGATTGCAGTACAGCTTCTTGCCACTAGGCCACCAGAGCTCCCCCACATATTTTTAATTTGAAAAACTCTGAGCAAATTTTTTTATTTCAAGAATTTTCAACAAATTGTTTTATTTGAACTGGTGCCATCAATTTGAAACATATATCATTCTAATTTTTAGACCCATTAAATGTTTCATTTGCAAGCATAAAAATCCAGGATGCATATGAGTTTATTTTTAAGTAAAGTGTTGCTGTTTTTAAAAAGTAGTTCCAAAACACAAAAGAAACAACCCAGTAGAAGTAAATGTTACTATTGCTAGAGAAGATCATGACTTGAATTCTCATGCACACAGTGAAACAGGGAACATTCTAGTAGCAGAAGAGATGATTGGATCTGAAAGGATGAGGAGAGAGCCTTTCCTTAAGTACAAGGAGTCCTGGTGGTGCTGTGTGTTATGTGTCAGACTGCTAACCAAAAAAGATTGGTGGCTCAAATACATGAGCTGCTCCTCAAGGAAAAAATGGGCAGTGTCCTCCTGTAAAGATTTACTGCTGTAGAAAACATGGAGGTTTCCAAGGGGTTGGAGTCGACTGGACACCTGTGGTTTGGTTTGGTTTGGTTTGGTTTGGTTTGGTTCCAGTTGAGAATTGTATCACAAAATTGTTTGAACACAACATTGTCATATACAACTTTTATTTATTCAGGCTTTTTAAAGTAAACTCTGTCTGTAGACTTTTGCTTCCTTTTTATCTTTATGGACTCAGATCTCCCTTCCTCTGTTAAGCTGAAAGAACAGAATTCATCTTTTTTTTTCAGAGTGACAGTCTTGATAACAATACTAGTGTAATTTCCAAGGAGTTTTACCCTTATCCCACTGCATAAATGTCTTACTTCTTCCTGAAGCCTGGCATTGTTTTAAAAGGGGCAAAATCTTTTATAGGGGATTTTTTTTTTAAATATCTGTAAGAGATAACTATATTTAAACTTAAGATATAATCAAATATGAAAGATAGGTGTTAGATCCTTCTAGTGTGACGATTTCTCATCCCTGGAAATAGGAACAAAAGGAAGAGTAAGAGACTTCTTGAGACTAGTTCCCAGACTGGAGTTAATGCTGCCAGGGTTGACTTTCGTGGGAGCCTGAAGCACCACTTCCTAAGCGAGTTCCTTCATTTATGCCTTTAAAAGACAGCTTTTCAAGTCTAGTCACTGTTAAAACTTAGGAAGATCATGGCAAGATATAACAAGCTCAGAATGGAAAGGAGCCTTTAATTTTAATGGTGTTTAACAATCAAATGGAAAGTATCTTGATCATAGGGAAGTAGACTTAATACTGTCTGCCTTTAGCTTGTTTCCCTTGACTTGTACTTATTTTTAATTCCCTTTTCCCCCCACACCTTGTGCACTTCCTTCAAAAAAGTTCTAAATTCTGGAATGAAGTTGCACCATTTGTTCCTCAGTCCCCTGCCCCTTGTCACTTTATTGCATCACTGAACCACTATTATAAAATTTTAACAAATGTGTTCAAAATGATGATGCAGAAGAGGGGGGGAGACTTGAAAACCATTTGTCCAGCAGGGAAAAAAACCCACCAACCCACGCCTTATTCCAATAGTTTAGTTACTTGGCAATGGGTGATTTTGAACCAGTAGGAAAAAAAATGAAGTGTTGATTCCACAGGACATTTTGAGTAGATGTCTATTAATTTTTCTGCTATTTTAAGCAAAACAATGCTTCTGCATAGAGGGTACCTTTTGAGCAAATAATGTGAATATAAACTACGTTAATGTATTAAGCTAAAAAGAAGAGTATCAGTAAGTTAGCAGTTTCTAGTAATTTTACCAATTCTGTCAATCAGTCTTCTTGGCTTTGATTTTGTGTGAGAGACAATTCTCAGAAGACATGAATATGCAAAAGGATTTTTTTTTTCAGCGAATGAAACAGTGCCTTTAAAAACTTTGTTAACATGAGATGGACTTTTGGTGTACAGTCCTTTATTTGATGTCTTAAAATGAATTTTGAGTATATGAGTTGCTAATGGCAGGGATTTTATATTCACACTGTAATTAAAGGTTGGACCAAACTGACTTCATGACCCAGTACCTGAGGTCAGTTTATACATTAAAAACAACAAAAACAGTAAGCCCTAGTTCCATCAAGTAAGTGCCAAATGATAGTAAGTCTGTGTAATCATAGTACGCCTATGTATTATTACCTCATGAATACCAAGGGTAAGAGGAAAGATAGGTTTCACCTTATCCCAAAGAAAATCTTAAAAAAAACCCAAAACTCAAAGACTCAGTTTCTTCTTTTCTTGATATTTTACAAAATTTCTTCTTATTTTTGTTCCCTTGTTCTAGGGGGACATAGCATCTGTGGAATACCTCTTACAAAATGGAAGTGACCCAAATGTGAAAGACCATGCCGGGTGGACACCATTGGTAGGTTCCTCCTTTTCTTCCTACCTCATTTTAATTCTGTCTTGAAGTTTATAGCTGTGTTTATGCATTTTTTTCTGCCACATGCATACTCTTTTTGATCTGGTGAATTTTTGCATTCACTGATTATGAGAAAATGCTTATCTTTATGTCTAAATTTTCTGCTTAGAACAGGCAGAAATTTGTCTATGCTGACCTATAGAATTAGGAATACATTTTCACCTCATTGCTGACTTTCACCTGTGTGTGAAGGGATCTGCTTCCGCCAATCAGAGGCTCCGTTCTGCAGCACCTGTGCCACTGGAACCCACTTCTCAGAACAAAGGAAAGTCATAAGCATTTGGTAGAAGGAAGGTTTCCCAAGAAAGTGATTTCACTGAGCATCTATCTTAGCCTTTCTTGGGCCCTGTCCAATTGCAAATGTATAGAAGAAGTAGCAAGTTTTCTTTAAAAGTCTCCTTATTGCTAAAAAATGCAGAGTGAAGAACACCCTGGATTAAGGATGGCACAGGTACTTGGGAACAAGTGTTATATAGGCTAATTACATTGGGATAATAAGTATGAGATTTGAATGCAGCCACAGAAGTGTCAACAAATGAGGTGGATGCCTTATATCCTGTACGCTAGAAATTCAGTGCAGTAATTAGGAGGCTCTCATTAAGCCAGGTGCGGGAAAAGGTTTCAGGTTATATAATGTCTTCTCCTTGCCAGACTCTTAAGCAGGAGGTTTAGTCTGGATCAGAGTCTTTGCTGTTTGGACTCCACGGGCTGGGCAACCCTTTTCAAAGAAAGGTTATTTCCTCGCTCCTTCCGCCAAGACACGAAGACCAATTGGAGTAAAGGCTGGAAGTGATTTAGAGAACCAGAGGCCTAATTTGGATTCTTTTCTCCTACAAATAGACCTACAGATGTTCACCGTAGTGTCACCTATTAAGAATTGAAATAGAGGTACTTAAAAAAGCTCAATATTCCAGAGATTTATTCGATTGCAACGTAGTAACATTGTTAGTAGTTCAGGAGACATAAAGGAAAGGTTTTTATGTGGTAATTATCTTGGAATTTTCCATTAAGCTGCCAGTTGTGTCATCTTGTAGCAGACTTTTTGAACCCTTCCCCTTTGTTGTTTCTGTCCTCACTGATAGGAGCTACTGTCTCTAGCTCTGGCAAATAGAGAGGCTTGCCTTGAAAATGCTTTTTCTCTTCTTGCCTTTTCAGCGTGTTGGTTAGTGCATGGCTAAAGCATCTGATCGAGCAATTTCCATTCAGCCCTAGACAGTGCCACATTCTTTTTGCTAGACCAGGTTAGCCATTTTCTAAGGTGTTTTGGTTTTTAGTGGATGGAACAATTTAGAAGCAATAGTTGATTTAAACCTGCTCTGTGTCTGAAAGAAGGAATATTAGAAGCTGTAGTGGGTTTACAGCTACATTTCTTTGTAAGAAAAAGAACACTTGACTCAAGGATTACCTGAGTAACCTTTTATTTTTCTGTGAATCACTGTGAATCATCACTAGAATTAATAATAGTGACTCTTACGCTGTCAGCAACCTAACTTGAAGGAGAATTTAGGTAAGAATAAATTGATTGAGGCTCCCATTTATTTTTTTTACTAACCTTTGTTTTACTGTAATGTTTTCCTTACTGTGCCTCATAATTCTTCGCCGTCTTCTTTTGCATTTAATTAGCACGAGGCTTGCAACCACGGGCACCTGAAGGTGGTGGAGGTGTTACTTCAGCACAAGGCCTTGGTGAACACCACGGGCTATCAGAATGACTCGCCCCTGCACGATGCGGTCAAAAATGGCCACATGGACATAGTCAAGCTCTTACTTTCCTACGGAGCCTCCAGGAATGCTGTGTAAGAACTTTAACTTAAAAACAATATTTTTTTAGTTTAATGGAGACTGGTGGAATCCATGCAGTTATGACCTTTAGATGCTTTTTGATCCTGGAAATAGAAAGAAAAAATGTTTTCAATTACTTGTGCTCATGAGTCAAGGTATGTAATATGTTGGAGACTTTAAACCCAAGATGACCTCCTCTCTTCTCGTTCACAACTAAACTTAGAGATATGTTCTGGCTTTAAAATCAGCATTCATACCCTTTTATTTCACAATGCTTATGGCAAGAAGCTGCACTGCAACCCGAAGGTGCGCGGTTCAAGGCCACCAGCTGCTCCACAGAAGGATGAGCAATCTCCTCTCACAGGATTTACTGCCTCTGAAAACCCACTGGATGGTCAGCTGTAGATTGGTTCCAACTCTACAGTGTACAACAACCTATACTTGAGTTGGGGAACTTTGGTGGCCTAGTGGGTAAGGAGTTGAACCGTAAACACAAAGGTACATGGTTCAAATCTACCAACTACTTCAAAGGAAAAGGTGGGCAGTCTCATTGACAGGTCAACTGTGAGTCAGTTCTAACTTAGTGGTATGGAATAATAATGGCCACAACATCATGTACTCACAAAGATTTGCTCTCTCTTTAATTCAGAAACCATTGTGAATTAATTTTTGAAGCTTTGACTTTTCTGGGCAAAGTGATTTAGTTTTTATATTCATAGATTCATCATTTTAAGAACAGTGGTGGGTGCCATTGTGGCCACAGCATTTATTTGAAAACCAAAAGATAGGTAGTTCTACTCACCAGCCTTTTCATGGGAGAAATGTGGCAGTTGGCTTCCATAAAGATTTACAACTTTGAGAATCTTCTAGGCTGTTCTATTCTGTTTTGTGCTACAGCATCTTTGTAAGTTGGAGTTGACTTGATGGGAATGATTTTGATGTTACATTCCTAGTTAGAAGTAAGAATTGGAAGGATAGAAATAATTATTTTGTATGCTTCCCAGTAGTTTAAAAATTGTTTTATTTATGCCGTTTGTTTTTATGCCTTCTCTGCCTGCTTAGTATAACAACAGATAAAGTGTGTAAGAATTCAGATGTTGGGCAAATACAATTGAATTCTTGGATTTTTCACATCGTTCAGGTGAGACTCAGGATAAATTAGTTTGTGGTGCTAGACTCCAGAGACACAGTTGTGAATGCTGATGCTACATTTTAAAACTGTTATTGTCGAGAATATCACAAGCAAACGCCATATGCAGACTTTATATCTTTGATCTGTATTGTGGTTTATGTCTTTCTAGATACTACTTTACTTTTTCTAGCTAATGGAGCTGTTGAAATAAAAACCCAAGAGTTGCCCTTCTATACCCTCTTTTCTTCTTCTGTAAGTTTAGAAAGAGCATATGAAAGTCACGTTTGCCTTGGTATAGAATCAATTAAGAATTCCAATAAGATGTGGAATTCTAAGTGTAATTGCTTTACAGATAACAATATTACATAATTAAAAACAAGTGAATACCGTGAGAAGGTATCCTACTTTGGTGCTGTTTGCGTAAATATGCCTGCTCCTTATTACTTGACATTGTCTGTTAGAAGATACTTGGAGTCAATTCCCCACAAAACCCACTGCCGTTGGGTCAGTTTCAAGTCACAGTGACAAGTAGTACCAATCGAACTAGAGTTTAGGATTTTCAAGGCGATCTTTCCAGTAGACTGCCACATCTTTTCCCAGAGAAGTGGTTGGTGGATCAGACTCCCACCTTATAGTTTGCAGCAGAACACTTTAACCACTGCACCACCAAAGCACCTTGGGACAAGTTCTGGGGCTACTTAACACGTTGCTGCAAATGACCGTGAAAAAATGTGGTTTCTAAGCACCATCGTCAATTAAAAGTGTGCGGCAATGTGTTAAACTCTTCTATGTTTCATTTTCCTTTGTTTTTTGTGTTGTTATGTGCTGTCAAGTCACCTGCCACTCATAGTGACGCTACATACAACAGCTGTGAGGCCTGCCCTGTCCTGAGCCAGTCTCCCTGACTCCGACACATCCACCCTCATCGCCCCAGTTACTGTACCAATCCATCTCATCTGGGGTCTCCGTCTCCTGCGCTGTCCCTCCACCCTTCCGAGCATGATGTCCTTCTCCAAGGATTGGTCTCTCCTGGCCATGGGACCAAAGTACATGAGATGGAGCTTCAAAATCCTAGCCTCCAAGGAGAAACATGGTTTCACCCTCTCTAAGAAACCTATTTATTTACTTGGCGGTCCATGGACCATTCAGTACTTTTCTCTAGCATCACAGTTCAAGGGCACTGCTGCTTCTGTCATCCTAGACATTGTCCAGCTTTCAGATGTATGTGTGTGTGTGTATGTGTGTGTGTGTGTGTATATATATATATGGGGTCTAATAGATGTGACACGCCTATAGGCGTAGCAAGCCATTTGACACAGCAAGTGTTTGCTTGAGCCCTGAAAAAAATGGAATCGTTTTCATCCTAGGTTCTTAAATCACCGCGACTCCTTTAATGAATGGATGGAGCGGTGGTCAGAGTGTTGAGGATGCAGCTTTTATTTGTGACTCCATTATTGACTTTATAGCCTCAGGCAGGTTAATTTCTGGGCCTTGGTGTTCTCACCTATAAAACATGGGTGATGCCTGCTGCTTTTCTGTTTCTTCAGAGCATAGTGAGGATTAATGAGCCAAAGCACAAGGCCTGTCTGTGGTTTGTACGCCGTGATTCTTCACTGTGCTCTGAAGGCTTATTTTATCCCAGAAGGTGTGGCCCTCAGCTAGTGAGCAGGGCTGGCTTCCCATTGGGATCCGCGTTGCTCGAAGCAGCATTACCAAGTGAAGTGCCACCACCAGATAGCTCTGTGATTCAGAACTGTCAAGTAGACCTCTCTGCATTGACTGTTCTGTTTCTGTACTGTGTATTCAAGTAGCCACTGGCCACCTGTGACATTTAAAACAATTAAAACATGGCTTCTACTACTGCCGAGCCAAATGCTATAGTTTATTTTAAAAATTAATTTAGATAGCCGTATGAGGCACATGGCTACCGTATTGGACAGCTGGTTGACCCAATTCAGATAGCAAAGAAGGAGGGGTTTGTCTGTTTGTTTGTTTGTTAGAAGGGAAGGCAGTGGTGCTCGATCAAAGACAGTAAAGCAGCTGCGAGTTCCGTTTAATGTAGGACGTAGCAGTAGCTGTTTCTAAACATCATATTCCTCCTAATCCAGCTAGTTGGTTTTCATATTAAGCATTTTTTTGTAGAATTTTTATTTCTTTTTGGTTTGTTTTATTATAGATGTTTGATGTATTTTCTTTACTGAATTGTTCTAAGGTTAATTTATTCTCCAGAGGGAATTTTAAAATTACACATCAGACTTTGTCACATGTTTGCTTAAAAATCCTTCAGTGACCTCCTCTGAGTGTTTTTAAGATAAAGGTCATAATCCAGACACAAGGCCATGCATGGCCTAGTAAACCTTCCCGCTCCAGTCTCAACTTTCCATAGACACTCTCCTCCCCAAAAGAATTATGGCCTTGAAAATAGAGATGAGTTTTTGGACTATGACAGGTCTGAGTTCAGTTTGCCATTCAGTAGCTGTATGACTTTAAACAACTTACTTAACTTTTCCATCCCTCTGTTTTTGCATCCATAAAATGGGGATAAAATCACTACCTACTTTATACGATTTTTTAAACTATGTGAATCAAATCAGTAAAAGTATTTAGAATTTGCCTGGCAAATAGCTCAACTATTAATATTCGTAGGTTTGCACTTCTGGAAGAGACATGTCGAATGCAGAGATGGGAACATAATACGTAACCTATGGTTTTCTTAAATTCTGAAAATAGTTTTAGCTGTGTTTGTGTGGCTTGGTCCATCCAATTGAGGACGTGCCTTTCCATTATTACATCTCCTTACCATTTTTCTCTCAAATGCCCATTGCTTCATCCCTGATGACGTGATGAGTGTTCCATCTTTTTCTGAAATAATTCCATTCAGCTTAACCCTAGTAAAGCTTCTTACTCCATTCTTCTGTATTTGGCTGCTAGCCTTGAGCAAATGGTATTTAGACCCTTGAGCCTTGATAAGAAGGCATCCTTCGATCAGTTTCAACCATTTCTGCAGTCACCAGACTCATTCCTTTCACAGACCATCTACAGTCACTAACCACTTTCCAATTATCATTTGGTAACCCCTCTTGATCACTCATTCCAATAAAATACCAAGTCAAATTATTGTTGAGGTCTGTCTTCAATTTATGGAGTTACAATAAATCTAAGTGGGGGTGGAAGGAAATTCTTTCTGTATAATCAGAGAAAATAAATGATTTATCATTGATTTTAATTAAATATCAGTAGTCCCTAATAGATGACAGTTTTTCTTGCATATATATTTTGTTATAAGGAGATTAAATATAGTTATGTGCATTTGAACCTGACTTTTCGAAACTTAGTATGTAGGGGAAAAGTTATCCATTCATATCATGGAAAAGAGATTTGTATTTAATGACATAATAAGAGAGAAATTTTGCATACTTCTCACCCTGTCTTGCTACATTTTACTGTAGGTGCCACATTTAAGGTGATGCCTGATTCTAAATTCCAGTAGCCCACGACAGAACAACATGGCAGGGTTTAATAACTCCCTGGCTCACTATCCAGGACTGAGACGTAACCAATTATTTTTCAATCTGTAGCATTTGTATCGTGCCATTCTTCAGCTCATTAGCAATACTGGAAAAGTAAGAGTTTAGTGAATTGTGTATAACCAGACCACATACATATTTAAATGCCATTTGAGATCATAAACTTTGCATAATAAGGACCCTGAATGTAAATTGGAATCCTGCTAGTCATTTTATGAAGTAATTTTTAGACGATAAAAACATTTACTGGTTCAGACTATTGTTTTATTGGTTATTTTTACTTTAAAATTCACACTGTAGCTAAGATAATTCTCTGGGAAAGGCTATCACATGACAATTTGTCACATTGTCATAGTGGACTTTCATTTGTGTTGACAGAAACACAAATGGATGGTAACTATGCTGTGTCATTCAGTTACAATACAGTGACGGTACATATACCTTGTTAAGGGCTAAGATACATGCTTTCCTTTATTAAAAATATTTGCGTATGCAGCGAGTTTTCGATGGCACCGTATCCTGACAGATTTGTTTGCTCATGTTTGCATTTGGTGATCTGAAGCGTAGGATATTGGTTCCTCAACTCAGATTTCTGTTCAGGGCATATGTGTATGAAGGGGTTGTGTTGTTGGTATGTGAGCACAATAATTTAGAGGACGAACTTGACATGTATCAAGTATCATTTCAGGTTTACCTTTTGAAATAAACTGAAAGATTATGTGCTCTAATTGCAGATAGGAATTTGAAAAGATCTAAATTTTAGAATAGTGACTGTAAATCAGAAAACAAGTACATTTGATGATATTGTATTTTTCCTGCAGAAAGACTTTTTGGGGGGGGGGCATCACAGGAACGTTACTAGGCGTGAGTGAGAACATGGGAGAGCAAATGAACCCCTGTTTATGCAGTAACACAGCGAGCTTGGCTGGTTTTGGAGTCCTTCCAGAGTTGGCACCTACATCTTTTCCCTTCCAGTGTCATTCTATTCACATCTGGTTTTGTTCTTTTCTGTTATTACATACAGCACAATTCTCAGTATTGATATTAGACCATGTGTGTCATTTTACCATTATAACATCATGTTTATACGATACTTTTCCGCATGCATTTTAATGGTTATTGTGTGGCTATACTATCATTTTAAAGATTAGAAGAAGAGGCATGCTTATTTTTAAGAACTTACGCTGTCATATGCTGTGGTAAAATTCTGTTTGTAAACCATATGTATGAAACAGGAATTCATAGACAAAGAGTCATAGAGTTGTTCTGTTTTTTTTGTTTTTAGGTTTTTTTTTTTTTTTTTTTTTTAGTTTCCCTTGTTGTGTACCATCGAATCAGATACAATTGGCACAAGAGGAGATTTTCCCCTCCTTCTCCAGCAGAGCATCTGGTGGATTCAAACCAAGTGCCTTAAGGATTGCAGTGCAGCGTCTTGTCATTAGGCCACCAGAGCTCCCTTGGAGTCATAGTTTTAAAAATTAACTTTTCATTGAAAGACTAATGACGGACATTGTAAAGGGAGAAGGTGACCATCAGTCATTGAAATATGTGTCTGTTTTTATTTATAAACAAAAACAGATCTCTAAAAATCTGTTCGTAGACTATGCCATGAACTCTCAAATCCCTTCCAGTGTCACATTCTGTGACCTGTGAATTAGTACAGACTGCGATATCTACATCAAATTGTTCTCCAAACAATACTAATTTCTGAGGCAATGACTCTATTATCATAGGTCAGATTATAGATATGTATTAATTTTCACAGTGTCCTATTTTTTACACTGTCATTTGGTGTAGTTTTTCTGCTGATAGATCCAAATCCCAGTCTCATATATTTATCTTATTTTTGCATTTGCTTATATAGAACTGTAGCTAGAGTAGATTATTTTTGTTTGCAATTGAAGAAGCTCACCCCATAGTGATTAATAATTACAAAGTCCAACTTCTGCATATGACTTTGAATACAAAAGACTACAGATTTTTGAGACAATGTAAGTAACAATATACTCAATATATTTTGTAAGTCACTGTATGGTCAATTAAAAATGAACTTATGGTTAGAACTCAAGATTAATTTTTTTTTTCTCTTTCCACCAATGAATTCAGCAGCTTCTGATTCTTGCTACTTATGTATTATGCAGATTTTGAGTTGTTCCTTTTAGTTAAAACTGCATATTAAAAAGTGACAGTTGAAAAATTGTTCCACTAGAGCATTCATTTAGTTAAGAATCAAGTCACACATTTTATTTACATAAACCCATCTGTACTTATTTTACCAGTAACATATTTGGTCTGCGGCCTGTGGCTTATGCAGACAGTGAAAATATGAAGTCACTGTTGCTGCTCCCAGAGAAGAATGAATCATCATCAGCTAGCCATTGCTCTGTGGTAAGTATGGGGTTCGCTGTGGGACATTAATATCTTTCGATGAAATTGGCTATGAAAGGAACATAATGGAAAGATTTCCAGTTAGCAAATTACTTTCATTTGCCGAGCATTTATCGAGCCCTCCCTGCTGTTTGCTACCGTGGATGCAAAAGCACAGTAACATTAAGTCTATCAACAGACACTTCCAAGAGCCTCTTCTATACTGTAGGCCACATTCTAGCGATCCCCTGTGACAGATACAGCGATGACTCTGGCTGGTAGAACTCTTCTCAAGGAGCTTACATTCTAGTGAGAGGTAGGAAAGAGGCAGCCTGTAATACATACATGAACATAAATAAAAGAATTGCAGTGAGTAATTGGAGACATTTTGTGCAGTTTAATTGGATGGGACACTGATGACCATCAGTCATTGTGCCATGTCTCTGTTTTTGTTTGCTCTAAGACAGATTAGGCCACAATCTCTTAAAAAGCTAGGCTTGTTGAGGGAGGCCCTTTAAAGACCTGGGATTTAAATCAAAACCTGACTGAAGAGGAGGAGACAACGATGGGATTATATAGAGGACTCCCATAGTCACTGTCTGATTCATAATTCATTCCAAGATTGGTAGCAGATCTGTTGTAAGAAGTACTGTCGATATTGTCCTAAACAGGTAGGCTACCAGTTCCAGTGTAGCTGGAAAGGCAGACATCCCCAACAGAGAGCTGGCACTGAGGTCTCAAGAGTTTATAAAAACCTCTAGTACGTTTGGGCTTGGGTCCCATCCTCATCCTCTCTCCTTAACACAGTAAGAACTTAAGCATGAAATGAACAGTTCATCATTGGCTAGGAAAGACATTTTGAATCATGAGCCTTTTACCCCACAGACTGCCATCGAATTGTTACCAGTGCATAGAGACCCTCTACTGATTATCTGAGATTGTGAATCTGAACGAGACAAGAGTGCCCATCTTGACCTAGAGGACTGGTTGGTCCTTTGAACTGCTGGAGGTGCAGAACTTTTCAGTTAGCAGCACACGACCACAGACGGGGCCACCAGAGCTCCTTCTCTGGAGGACAGTTGTCCAAAACAGAAGGATACCAAGAATAAAGGTCTTCTAGTGGGAGGATCTGGCCTGTTTTGTCGATAGAAAGAGACTAGTATGTGTCCAAAGAGTACCGGGGAAACCACTGGAAGGCTCTAAAGCAAGAGGGTGATACGGATTTATGATGTAGAAAATTCCTTCCAGTTGGTTTTTGAAAGAAGACCTTTAGAATGTGAGGCAGGAAAGGAAACAAGGAGGTCACTTGGGGCCATCGGGGTGGGAGGGAGAGACTGTGATAACCTGGAAAAGGGTAATAATAGTGTTGGAGATGATGACTTAATTCACATATATTTTGAGTTAATGATGAGAGCTTTCTGATGGATGATATATATGTGGTATGGGGGAAGAATGGGGTAAGTATGACTGTAGGAACAGGCGAAGTGGCAGAGGCATCTGTTTCCACTGGGAAGAAATTAGTTGTTGCGTTTGTTCATTTGATGCATGTTATGCATCATTTGGAGATGGTGGATGTGTGAACTGGAGCTTAGGGAAAACAACAAATGAGAGATACAAAGTAGTCGTTGCTATTCATTCCTACTTAATCTCTCTACCTTAGTGGAAAAGAGAGTTATAAAAGAATTATTACAATAAACTTTTTTACAGATTGTAATAAATTTATAATAGAAGCCATAAAAATGCAGAAGCATAGAGCAGGGAGACGTGAACCTCAGTAGGGATTAGGGAAAGCTTCCCAGAGACAGTGACAGAGGTGATCTAAGCCTTCAAGGGTAAAAGCTTAGTAGGGATTCTAGCAGAATGCTTTTGGCTGCAACATCCGAAAGCCTTCAGTAAATGCTTAAAGAATTGACTCTATAATAGCTAATCTCAGTGTAGGATAGCTCTGCATTTAGTTAATTCAGCAGTTAGTGACTGCATCAAGCACCTAAATCCTTTCTGTCTTTCTGCTTTGCCGTCCTCAATATGACGGCTTTGTCCTGCCTAATCTCCTCATGGTTATAGGATGTGTGCCACAATTCCAGAGGTGACTACGCTCAGCAGGAAAATAGCGATCAAAACTCCTTTATGTCTTACTGGCTGGAAGTGGCTCTCATCCACAGGGTGAAATTGCAGGATGAACACTTGAACAAAATTGGGATTATTTCTAATATATAGAAAAGGAAGGACTGGACATTGAGGAGCTGGCCATACCCATCGCGTCCTAGTATAAAGGTGGAAATGGCATTAAGAACCTAAGGGACAGCTCTTTGGAGAGAAGAAGGCAAAGAGGATCTTAGGACTTTGCAAAACTACCTAGAGTTTGGTGTGAGAGGAGCAGAAGATAAGGAGAAAGAGGATTTGAGAAACAGGATGAGGTCGGGATTAAACTGCGAAAGACCTTGCCTTTCCTGACAAAGAGTTTGGACTTTATTTTCCTAGTTAACGGGTTACCCCAGAGTGATTTTTAATTAGAGGATATTGAGAAGTGGGAAGGCTAATTAGAAGGGAGGTGTAATAATAATACAACTTAGAAATGGTGAAGACCAAGACTGTATGATATGCAACTGGAGAGGAGAAAGAGTTTGAAAAGCCTTAAATTCAAGCTCAAACTGACACCATCAAGTTGGTGCCAACTCATACCAACCCTCTGTCAGGTTTTTAAATCATAATGAGAGGAGACAAGCCAGCTTGTTCCTGTGGAGCTGCTGGGGTTTTGAACCCTTAGGGTTGACTGTTCAGTTCCTTGCCGCTAAGCCTTAGATTTAGGAGTGCTGCTCATTTGAGATCTAGGACAGTTAATAGGTAATTCCTTTCCTAGTAAAGGCAGTAGAGTAGTGATAGCATTGCTTAGCTTGACACGGTAATAAATGCTGCCAAAGGCTACTTAACCTCTGTACTTTGGAAGTTCTTGGTTTTGTGCTCTAGATCCCAGTCTTACAAGTGTGCCCCTAACTAGTTTTGGTAGTGAACTGAAAACAAGTCTCAAAACAGTACTGCAGTCTCCTATTACAGATGGGAAAAGTCACGACCTGCGGAGATTGTGATTTGTTCAGGGTTAAGCAGCCATAACAAATTGAATGGACCAGTCAGGACTCAAATTTGTTAAATCTTGAGTCTGTACGCATTCAGTCACACAGCTCGCAGCCACCATAAATCAACACTTATTTTATTCATTTGAACTTGAACTCTCTTGGCAGAGCATCGCGTAACTAAGTTGTCTTTTGCCAGTGTTCCTTTTATCTAAAAGCTGGAAAAAGATTATTTTAAATATTTCAAAAAGAAGATCTTTTTGATGGTATTTTGGGAGTCTGAGGATGGCAGTGCCCTTCAGAAAAGAGCAGAGTGATTATTCTCCTTTCAATTACCTGAACACAAGTAGTTCTTTTTGTAGTTTTTGTTTAATTCTTTTATATTGCCTTGCATATCTTTTTTGTGTTTTTCTAGAATGTAAGAAACTATTGAATATAATATTGCATATTACAGGGACATGAAGTATAAGTAGCATCATTTGCTCTCTTGTATGTATTTGTCTAAGTGAGAATAATGAAAAGAATCCTTCTAAGTTGAAAGTGTAGGTTTCTCTGTACATTCCTTAAAGTGGAAGTTCTGGAATCTGCTTTCCAGCTGCTACCCGACTTCCTTTGACTCTCATTTTTCCAGATGCATGAGTCTTGAATCTTCTAAAGATGCCGTGTGGTGTGCCTCCCCACTTCCTTGACTTCTTGCTCCAGTGTCATCTTATGTAAGGGGTTGCTATGCCATTGTGTACTACAGCAATTCCCAAGGCTTCTTAACCCCTCACCTTGGTGCATGTTTGTCATTGCACATACCATCTGGCATTACATAGTTTCTCCCCTTCCTGTTTAAACTGTGAGGTAGGCACTTGACTCTAATTTACTGCACCCTCAGCATCCAGGACAATGTCTCGCATATGGTGGGTGCTCTGGTGCTGGAGTCTAGAGGGCGATGCAGTGCTGACCCTAAGGCCATGCTTCTCTGGAAGGTCAAATCCACCAGTGTCTCCAAGGGAGAGAGATGGGCAATTTCCTCCCTTGGATTTTACAGCCTCCAAAACCTGCTGCAGGGTCAGCTCTGAGTTGATTCTGATTCCACGGCGGTTGGCGGTGAGATAGTTGTTTTGTGTTTTAATTCAGTAAGTGTAAAAAAAAATGGGAATCCCAGAACACTTTTATATGAAACCTATACTTGGATTGGACCAAGGAGCAGTCCTCAGAACAGAGCAAGGAAATACTGCCTGGTTCAAAATCATGAAAAGAGTGCATAAGAGATTCATTCTGTCCTCATTTCTTTTCAATCTATATGCAGAACAGCTCATTTTGGAAGCAGGGCTTTATGAGGAGGAGTGTGGAATCAACATTGGATGAAGACTCATTAACAACCAGTGATAGAATGATGACACATCCTTGCTTGCTGAAACTGAAGAAGACCTGAAGTGCTTGCTACAAAAGGACAAAATCTTCAATATGAATTGAAAGCTCAACATCAAGAAGACAATGTTTCTCACCACTAGGCCAATTGGCAACTTCATAATAGTTGGAAAAGAGATTGTGAGCAAGTACAGCTTGCCTAGATCCACAATCAATACTCTTTTAACACCAGCAGTCAGGAAATCAAAAGACTAATTGCATTGGGAATATCTGCTGTCGTGGACCTCTCTAAAATGCTGAAGAGCAACAATGTCAGTCTAGAGACAAAGGTGCACCTAATCCAGGCCATGGTCTTCACAATTACTTGTTATGCTTCAGAAAGTTAGACAATGACTAAGGATGTCAGAAAAAGAATCAGTGCCTTTGGGTTGTGGTGCTGGAGAAGAGTCTTGAACATACCATGGACTGCCAAGAAAACAAATCAGTCTTGGAGAGGGTGAAACCAAATCTCTTTGGAGGCTAGGATTTTGAAGCTTCACTACACTTACTTTGGTCATGTGGCAAGGAGAGATCAGTCCTTGGAGAAGGACATCATGCTTGGAAGTGTGGATGGACAGCACAGAAGGGAAGACCCTGGATGTGATGGATTGATACAGTAACTGGGATGATGGGGGTTGGTGTTTCAGAATTAGTGAGACTGGCTCAGGACAGGGAAGGGTTCAGAGCTGCTGTACATAGTGCTGCTATGCATCACACGTTACTCAACCAGTAACATTCTATGACAGGTTTGCAAGCAGGAGTGGCATCCACTTCCTAAACAACATGCTTCGGGAAACTCTATGAACTTTGATAAATATTGATAGTTGTAGAGGCTTTTTGCTCATAGGGTCACTGTGAGTCATGCTCGACTTGAAGACAATCAACGACAACAACAGTAAATGTGTATAGTACAGAACAACACAGCAGTGTCCTTTAAGATTATTTTTACTCTGGAAACAAGCTTAAGCGCTGGGTTACTCAGGCTGCAATTCTTCAGATCAGTTATTGTCAGGCTATTCTAAGGAGCTGTTTCAGGGAACACCAGGCAGAAGAGAAGGAGCTATAGAGAAGCAGCCAGTGCTTGGTGCTGTCCATCACTGTCTCTGTTCCTAGCAGTCCTGTGTGCACCAGTGCAAAATGCTGCTGTTCTCATAGTTGTTAGGTTTGAGCCCCTATTTAGAACCACTCTATCTGAATGTTGTTGTTTGTTCAACAACAACAACAACTATCTGAATGAGAGGCTTCCTCTTTTTTGCTGACTTTGACTTTGACTTTGAAGCACGATCTTCTTTTCTCTGGGAATCAGTTTCTCCTGATAAGGTCCCATGAGATTTGTCACGTGTCCGAAGCACCCCTTTGCTGGTGAGGCACACCCTGCCTGCCGACTGTTATTCAGGGGTTCCATGCTATATATTCAGTATTCTTGGCCAACACTTCATCAACATTGATTCTTTGATCTCCCAAGGAGACTTAAACTGCATGCCTCATTTGTTTTGGGATTTCTTTCATCATAATCTTGAGCAAGCTGGCATCACACTTTTACCAAAGTTTTTTTTTTTTTAATTTAATTTGTTTATTTTTCATTTCAATGAACATGTACAGAGATTTTGGAATTCCATTCATTCATTGTTGCACCCTTCTCCCCACTCCCCCCCCCCGTTTGCTCCTCTCCTTGAAAAGCAAAAGAAAAGCTCCCTCATTAGTACACAATCCCCCCTCACCTCCCCAAACCCCACCCCCTACCCCCAAATATAATCCACTCTGCAACCCTCATTGCATATAACTAATAATTTTATTTAAGAAAAAAATCTTATATGGGTTACTGTTTAGCGTTTGCTTACTTCCGATCCACATCCCATCTCAAGTAGAATGTTGAACCGTGAATGAACTCGGAGTTTTGAGACCTCTGTGTATTCACATCAAATGCTGACCCTCCACCCTTGCCCCAAATCAAACATGTGACTTTGGCAGCTGTTTGCTTTATATTTTATTAGAGCATTTTTTTTAACTATGAGGATTTAGTGCCAGTTTCTATTTTTTACCCAATTGGAAGAAAAAGAACTATGATAGGAAAATGCTTGACCCACTTTGGTGCTTTCCTTCAGCTGGTGAAATTAGTATAAGGAGCTACATTTAGACTTGATATCTTCTTTGGTGTTTTGTAAAGACAGCTAGTGTATATATGTAGTGGAGTTACAGAAACTCAAAGTAATATGTTCCATTCAATTTAGAGTTATTCTTAAGGTACTATTTAGTGACAAGAATTTTTTAAATTCTGTTTTTTAATACTATTATTATAGAATAATGGAATGGTTCACAAGTTACACTGAACCCTTTTTCTGCTACTTAATGTCTGCAGTTGAGTTTGTTAGAAATGGTTATAATTATAAAATTATAATTTGGTAACCAAGAAAGATACATATAAAGAAATAGAATCTATGTGCATGCTCCTATATAACATATCTATATCTGTAACATATCTATATAACATTCTTTTGAGGAGAACCAGCTAGCTGAAATTTTAAGTATGGAAATAATATCATTTTTTATGGAAATCTTTTGTTGTGGTTGTGTTCCTTTGACTCTGAACTGACCATCCATAGGTGACCCTACACTGGGTTTTCAGAGACAATTACTTGCACAAGAGGAGATTGCCAGTCTTTCTTCTGCCAACAGCTGGTGGTTTGAAACCATGTACTTTTGCATTGGTGCAGTAATTGTTTACCAAAAACTCATGAGAGTTCCATTTTGTATAGGTGAATGAATTCTAGGAGTACACTGGTATGTAAATGAATGAATTAATATCCTGTGTATAGAACAGTGTAGATATCAGTGCATGGTAATTATACTAGTTTAAAACACATGTAGTATAGTACATTAAAGGGAGCTTTGGTCGCCCAGTAGTAAGAAGCTGAGCTGCCATCCCAAAGGCACGTGGTTTGAATCCACCAGCTGCAGTGCAGGAGAAGGATGGGCAAATTTCTTGGCAATTTACTGCCTCTGAAAACCTGCTTGAATTTCATAACAACAATAACAACAGTATATTAAAGAAGGAATTATTGTGACTTATGTACAGATGTAACCCAATTTTTTTAAAAAATTACTTTTTACAGTATTGTCTTTATTTTTTTTAATTTATCTTTTATTTGAGTTAAAGTTTACAAATCATATTGGCTTTTATAAAACAATTCATACACATTTTGTTTTATTGCATTAATTACAGTTGATTGATGTAATTAATTACAATCTCTTCAAACCCTTATAGCCAAAGACATAGATATATGTCAGCCATAATTATTGCTATCATCATATGTGAAGTAGTTGAATGCTAATTTCTCTCCCTTCTAGTAATCAAACTACGGTGATGTTCATCCCTTCAGTATGTCATGGTTTTTATAGCTTTTGAAATCTCGGTGTTTAGAATACAAATGATCTCCCGCACATGTGTGCAGTTTAATACTACATTATAGACTTTTTCGCCCTTCTGTTAGTGCGAGAGAAATGCCCGAATAGAGTTGGAATGATGCTTAAAGGGATAAAACTACATTGATGTTAATAATGTATTTTTAATCTTTGGGTCGCCACTGTTGTTGAAGTATGAAATATTCTAAGACTGATTTGTCACCAGTAAGGAATGAGAGGAAGACACCCATCCCCCCAGATGGATTTACACAGTTGCCTGCAGCAGTGGGCGGTAGCCTGGCAGAGACTGGGGGAATGGCACGGGACTGGACAGGGTTTCAAGCTATTAATTTGCATCAGTCGATATGAGTTGGAGTCCGTTCAACAGCACCTAACAACAACAGCAACACGATGATCTTAGTTTAAACTAAACTGACCTGACCAGGTTGTGATTAACTTGAATGGAATATGTTAGCAGTGTCTCCAAGAAACCCCAAACACTGGAATGTTGGTGATTTTGGGTAATTTAGGTTAACTTGAAACAAGCGAAAAGGACTTGCTGATGACAAAGTGCAGACGTTAAGCTCTGTTACTAGGCTCCATCAAGCTGTCTGCAGCATTCACAGTGACCCTGTGTACACAGATCAAGACCCTCCCCAGTTCCGCCCCATCCTCACCATCGTGGCTGTGCATAAGCTCTTTATTACAGTCACTGTGTCAGTCTGTCTGAGTGTCTTCCTCTTCTTGGCGGATCCTCCCTCTTTCCAAGCGTGATGCACGTCCCTCCTGATAACATGTCCAAAAGTGTGCGAAAAAGATTCACAATCTTCGTTTCTGATTAACACTCTGACTGCACCTCTTCCAAGAGAGATTTGGGCGTGCTTTGGCACCCCATCATATATTCATTACTCTTCACCAGGGCACATCAGTTCTTCAGTCTTCTCTGTCCACTGTCCAGCTTTCTCATACATGTGAAACAATTGATAATACTGTATCTTAGGTATCCAAATTATTATCAAGGAAGCAAATGCTTTGGATATATTTGTCTATCACAAATAATGTTATTTACTGGTAGGAAAAAAAGTAGTGGAAATTATCAGGAATGACTGAAGCAAACTAAGAAGTGAAACTCAAGCTTATATTAAGAGAAAATCAGCTCATGCTTCTGTCTGGTCGTTGAATGTTTGTGTCACTGTTGCTTCACCTTTTTCATTAACAGGTAAACACTGGTCAGCGTAAGGATAAGCCTCTTGTGCTCATTGGAAGTGGCCTTTCCTCAGCACAGCAAAACCTGCTTGCTGAGCTTGCTACACTTCTTAAGGCTAAAAAATGTGCTGAGTTTGACAGTACAGGTGAGGATTTTGCTTTGTTTTTTAAATTATATAGTTAGTTTCTTTAAAGAATGCTACATGAATAATGTGTGTATGTTTTAAACATTAGGATATGACTATGTAATGCGTATCCTGCAGTAAAATAGAATTATTTGTATAATTATAAATTATTTTTAGGCTTAATGCCGTTAGTAAATTTTTAACTTTGCTCATGTCAGAAAGCAAACCTATGAACTTGCTGATGACAAATTGCAGTGCAGGGCATTGCTGTAATTTTTTACGTAATTTGAAAATTATCTCACGTTATGATACACTGTTTAAGATTTAACTTTTCGTGTTGGTGTCCATGAGAAGCCAGATTAGAGAATGATGCTAAATAAACAAAGTCTTTTCCGTAAGTGTAAAAATTAATACCTGTGAAGTACATTCAATAAAGTTCATAAAATCCAGTCTGAGTGATTATAGAGATAGGTTACCTGGTTATAAAGAGCAGGCTAGTTACATTATTCTGGTTTACATCTCTGTTTTCTTTACTACTTATATTTGTATTCTAGTAACTCATGTCATTGTTCCTGATGACACTGTTCAGAGTACACTGAAATGCATGCTTGGGATTCTTAATGGATGCTGGATCCTGAAATTTGAATGTAAGTGTTGGGATATAGGAGAATTGTGAAAGAAGTGAAGTTGGCTAGTTTGATATCTCATAGTGCATTGCTGCAAATTATTATTATTTAAAGAACTTGGGCTAATTGTTCTTTCCTTTGTGAGTCACTGCATTTCGAAAAGCTTGTCATAGTAATGATATCATTTAGATGTTCTTGCTAGATGTGACAGCAAATGTGTTTTGGTTTTGAAAGGTTGTTTTCTTCTATGACAACTGTTTTAATAAAGAGTAAGAAGTCGTATGTAATAGGTTTTTAAGCTGAGCAATCTGTATTATTGTTACATTTAAAGAAACCCAAGCTCAATGCCATCAAGTTGATTCCAGCTTGTAACGACTTCGTAGGATAGACCAGAACTGTCTCACAAGATTTCCAAGGCTGTAACTTTGCGGGTGTATGCTGCCACACCTTTTTGTGCAGGGCAACTGATAGGTTTGAACACGCACACCCCCCTCACCCCCCACCACCATTTTGTTAGCAACTGAGTGCACCTAACTCTCCTACTAACAGGGTTCCCGCACATATTTTAAATATACTGCGTGGTACGTGGAAGAAAAGGAGCTGGAATGATCCTTAAAAACAAGCATAGTGAGACTCTGTTTTGGCTTGCTGAAAGTGAGGAGGATGTGAAAGCTTGCTGCAGAAGAGCGAGATTGTAGCCTTCAATGTGGATTACATTGCAACATCAAGAAGGCCCAGAGGTCCTCACCCCTGGGCCAGTAGACACCATCATGATACATGGAGAAAGAACTGAAACTCTCAATGATTTCATCTTAGCTTGGATTCACAGTCAACATGCGTGGTACAAGCATTCAGGACCAGGAGACATACTTCTTTGCACAAGTCCACTGTCAGGGACTTCTCCAAAGTACTGAAGAGCAGTTATGTTCCATTTGAAGACCAAAATGTGCCTTATTCAGGCCATGGTCTTTTCAGTCATTTGCTGTGCTTCTGAGAGCTAGATAATAAATAAGAATGACAGGAGAATAATTGATACTTTAAGTTGTGGCTTTGGAGAAGAATACCAAGTATCTCACTGACTTCCAATAGAACAAACAGATATGTCTTGGGAAAAGGGCAGCTAGAATGCTCCCTGTAGGACAAGGAGAGGGAAGCTTCATCTTTTATATTTTGGACATGCTGCTAGGAGCTATTCCTTGGAAAGGGACATTATGCTTGGAAAGGTGGAAGTTCAGCAAAAGAGTGGAAGAACCCCAGCGAGATGGGTTGACATGGTTTCTGCCACAGTAACTTAAGCACTGCACAGATTATGAAGATGACACGGGATTGGCCAGAGTTTCATCCTGGTGCAGCAGTGAGCTCGAAGTGTGTCAGAGATGACTCGAACGGCACAGAATAGGGCAGGATCCAAGCCTGTTGTTCATAGGATCTCTGTGTGACTTACTCACCTCTATGGCACCTAATAACAACGTTCCCTGAAGAAGGACATCATGCTTGAAAATGTAGAGGATCAGTGGCTAAAAGGAGGTCCCGTAATGAGGTGGATTGACACAGAGTCTGCCACGGCGACTGCAGCACGGCTCAGGTAACTCAGGATTGGTCAGAGTTTCATTCTGGTGGCTTAGTCGTAAGGAAGTTGTGCTGCCAACTTCCAAAGGCACGTGGTTCGAATCCACCAGCTGCTCGTGGGAGAAGGATGTAGCAGCCTCTTCCCGTGTGATTTCTTGCCTCTGACAACCCGCTGAGGATCACCTGTGGTACCAACTCAGCAACAATGAGTTGGATCTTGAGTTGATAAGTCACAGTCAACTTGACAGCATTTTTACAGGCACTTTCACGACATGCTACACTAGTTCATGCACTCATAGGTGCAAGTGCTTAGGTAATTGGTGAAAGCTGAGTAAGTCCCATGCCCTGTATCTGTCGCTTTCTGGGTTTCGTGTTGCTCTGCAGTTGTGCAGGATCTTGGCACTGGGAGTGACTGGTGGAAGGTGCGTGAAACTTCCTGGTGCATGAAACTTCCTAGTACATTTCTTCATAGTCTTCTGAGATTTCTTTATTATGCGAAAGGAAAAAGTTAAAAAGCAAACCAAAAAAAATAGAGCAGTAGTAAATAATGTTAATAAAGCTCTATTTTCAAGAAGCAAATGATGAATAAAATGAATTTTTATAAACTTTATGACTTTGTGCTTTGAAAGTTTTATGGTCGAAATGCTTGATTTAACAAGATTTTAATTATATTATTAACTTAACCTGTAATTAGAAGTGGATGTGGATGATAAAATTGCTTCCTCTCGGTAATTGATATTCCTGTTCTGTTCAGAGGCAGGTACCACTTCGTTTCTTGTGAGGCTTGTCTTCCTTGGACAGGTAGTCAGGAAGAATGGAGGGAGGGTCAGATGGAGAGAGGAAGACCTTAAGGAAGGGGGACTGATGTCTGTAGCGGTGGGTTCACACACACAGAGATCACTATGGTGACACAAATACGGCAAGGTTCAGATCAGGTCATGATGAGTCCCAGATGACTCTGGCACCTGACATCAATGACAGTCCTCATTAAAACCCTCTGATTGAGGTGGATAGAAATGGCAATGGCTAGCAATACCAACACATCTGTTCTCATCAACCTCTAATTTATTTAATTTGGTTTTTGTGCGCAGAACAAAGCTGTTTATTTATATTTTCAATTTACCTACTTTGTTGTTGAGGCTTTGCATCAGAAAACAGAAACCAGTCCACCACTTTGTACCTCTTCCATCCTATTGCATTGTTTTCATTGTGCAAGTTGGTAAACCTTGCTCACCCTCCTGTCAATTTCAATCTCCCTGGGAATATGCCTTCTAAGTTTCCTATCACGTCTTTTCAATGGCTGTTGACCATTTGATCCTGTATAGATAGTTCTTTTAAAGAGCAAATGCTCAAAGCATTTAAGTTAAACAGTTGTCAGGGTGTAAGAGGACCTCATCCATCGCTGTTACTGGTCCTTCCCATTTATTACTGGTTAAAGGTAATTTATTACTGGTTAAAGGTTACCCATTGGACTGATTGACAATTTTCATAGAAGTTTTCCTTGTCTCACTCTCCTAGTTTATACTTTCTTTTCCTTTGACATCTTACTGAAGCAAATCTTACTGAACCTCGATTTTTAAAAAAAAATGTATTTCAAATGCCTCAAGGATTATAGATGCTTTTGTATTGAAACTGCACTAGAAACCTTGTGCGTAGTTAGAGGAGGGAATAGATTTTCATAATAATAAAGAAGCCGTGGGAAATCTTGAATGTGAAGGCGTTTACCATTTAACTTTGAGTCTGGTTCTTGTGAATGTGCCGCACTGGCTCTTGGTTATATACAGAGGCTACATGATTCATTTCCATAAAATTTGCCTTCCTTAAGAAATGAAAGTTTTGTCACTTTAATGGCTTAGCCATGTCATTTTTATAGAATCATTGATGGACTCAAGCTGACTTAATAGTATGCTATCTGGTGATTCTCACTGTGGTGAATAACACACTCTCAGTGGTTCTTTTCGGATAAAGGATGGTTAGAATCTCTCACTGACACTTCGTGTCCTCATATATTCTAATACAGAATCCCAAGAGAAATAAGTTCAAGGTTTGGGACAACAACCGTTACTGGAATTTCAAAGGGAAGGCAAGACCCTCAAATAACTTCTTCCCTATTGTTTATTTCTCACAGTTTTTCTCAGCATCAAGTAGTTCAGTTTGATTTCTTTTTCTTTTTAATGTTTCAGAGCTATTCAAAAGCTTTCTGAAATATTTCCATAAGATTAAAGAAAGATGAGGCCTTCCAAAGCTTCCAAAATTAGTTGTAAAGATTTATGACTTAACACAAGACCTACTTTTAATATCATTACTTGCTGGTAGATAAAGTCTGAACTGGCTTACCTATATGAAAATGTTAATACAAACATCTTGTGGAATTTTCCAGGCATCTAGTAGGTTCAATAGATAATTAGACCTAAAATTTTCCTGTAATTTTGTAAGATAATTGACTCATTTAAAGAGATTAACCAAAAAGAATTTGGATTCGTTGGCTCCAAAGTTTTTGCTTTAAAAATCTTCCGTCTTAATTGGTTGATGTTTCCGTTTTCCCTACAAGAGAGAATCTAACATAGTTAATGGGCTGAGCAAGAAGATTTGGAGAAGATCTTGTAATTATACTAGTTTGTCAACCAGTCTTTCTCACCATATGTATCTTACAGATAATTGTGTAAATTGCTATGTTGTCTTACCCATATTTTACAGAAATGGAAGCTGGGCATAGAAAGTCCTTTTCTCAAGGGCGGATTTTTGATTTAGACTCTGTTTTAGTCACACTAAATCTATGTGCTTCACACCTAGACATGGGTGAATTTTGGTAATTAAAGGAGTGGGTAGATTGAAGGAATCGAGAATATGTGATAAATAAATAATTTTATTTCTCTCCTGGAGACAATATAGTTAACATAATAGAGCATCCTAAAGATACAAATGATATTTATTTCAAAAAAGAAAATAGCTTTTACTGTTTTTTTGGAGGTTCCCCTCCCCACAAACACCCTGGCTTTGGAATTTCCTGTAGCATAGTGTCTTTTCTAAGTAAAATTCTGCCTCTACATTTCTCACCTCGTCATGAGAGGGGAAGCTGGGCTGCTTTCTTTAGTTAATCTCTCCCTCAGCTCTGTCTCCTGTGCAAGTTCACATAAGATTGTAGCTATGCTAGTTTGAAAAGTCCTCCGCATCTTAGGGATTTGGTGGAGAATATAGCAGATATTTTTCTTTGGTCAGATCTTTGCAATGTGGACAAGGCTTTCAAAGATATTTTTGGTTTTCGTTGAGAAGGGCCTGATATAAAGATTCTCTAAGAATAAAAATAAATCCACACACTTTAGGAATGCACTCTGAGTGGTAAAACAGAGGAAACAACTATTTACAGTATTATTTCTGGTGGCTCACAAGTTAGTTGCAGGTAACTGAAAGATTAGTGGTCTGGAACGAGCAGCCCCCTCCACGGGAGAGAG